TTATATATATTAATTTGCTTATTTATGTATTTAAGTTGGTTTCTTGTTGCAAATGCTAGCATTTTTGGGTTCTTTTCATTTTTTTATATTTCTAGAAATATAATCATAATTAGAATTTTAAATTATAAAAGGCTAATAAATTAAATAAATAAGAATTGTATGTTGATGATGTTAAAATTTAATTTTTTTCAATACCAAATTTTATTATAATATTTATCAACTAAATTAAAATTCGTTAAATAAATTTTTTTTGTTAATCTCCATTTTTATTTCGGTCAAGGTGCTTGACCGAAATAGGATGATTGGAAGACCACGAATACATGAATATTTCGGTTATTATAGTTGACCAAAATGTGTTATTAAAATAATATTTAAGTATTTCGGTCAAATATATTGACCAAATATAAGTGTTTTTTTATTGATTTTTTCAACTTTATTTCAGTCAAGCACCTTAACCGAAATGATTTTTATTTCGGTCAAGATAAAATTTTCTCCGAAATTGTATTTCGTACAGAGCATATTCGGTCCAACAATTCGATCAAAATACTTAACCGAATTAATTGTTTTTCAATCAATATTTGGCCTTTTTCAGTCAATAATTCTTGACCGAAATTGTGCCTTTTTCTAGTAGTGTACATAAGTATCCACTTATATATTGACCAAGAAACCTATGAATTTTAAATCAATCTAACATCATAATTTTAAGAACTATTACCATAACAGATTCAATAATATATATCTATATATATATATAATGCTGCCCTTACATTAATTGAGATCTAAATATAAATATTTTTTTTTTATCTATTTTTCCTTTTAATGTGTTAAATGCATTAATCTCATTTTTATCATCTATTTTACCTTTATGATATTGTATTTGAAAAGTATGATATTTTGTTTTTCATTTTACATTTTTGGGTTACTTTAAGTTAGAATCTTTTCATTTCTTTATTTATTATTTTTGTTTCTTTTGTATTTTAAATTTATTTACTTTTAAAAACAAAGTTAAAGGGGCACAATTGATCTTACACACTTAAAATAATTAAATGTTCTCTTTAATTATTTCTCAAAAATATTCTCTTTAATCAAGAAAAAAAAACTTATTTATGCGTTAATTGAGATCTAAATATCAATATTTTTTTTATCTATTTTTCGTTTTAATTTGTGTTCAATGCATTTGTCACACCCCAGAACCCAAATCCGAGGCGCGACAGACGCCGTGCACTCGTGAGTGGGTCCCACAAATGCACAAGGCTCGAAACTTATCCAAATCACAAAATCTCATGAATAAAATCAACCTTACAAAAGGATGATAAAATCTAAAACTTATACCCCAATTGAATGGCTAGCCTTCTAATTCGTCACTCCCCTTGGTTTCCCCGTCCTCGGTTTCGATTCCTAAAATGGTGGACAAGGAAAACTATGAGATAACTCAGTAAGTAAATATGGATAGCCCTTGGGTAAAAACTTTTAAGCATGCCAGATAAACAGTTTAATATAACCAAAACGCTCAGTGACAAAATCAGATTCAGTTCAATTGCAAAGCATTCATGACAAACCGTTCATGCAGAATAAAACTCAGTTCAATAGTCTCATCCATAAGTCATGGCCAGTGTTTACAAACTCCCACTGGCAGGCGTCAATAATGGTACCAGTGTTTACAAACTCCCACTGGTAGGCGTCAGTAATAGTGCCAGTGTTTAACACACTCCCACTGGCAGGCGTCAGTAATAGTGCCAGTGTTTAACCCCATAGGCAGGGTGAACCGGTTCCACAGAAATACATGTCGACATGTGCTAGCGTTTACAGCTCCCATTAGCGGGCGTCAGTAATCATGACTATATCCGAGACAAAACCATGCAGGATTTCCAAAAATCCATAATTCACAATCAATCTCAAATCTCAGAATCAAACCAGAAAATTTCCATGTGACCATGGATTTAACAGAAAACTCAGAATTTGCAAACTCTCAGTTCATCAAAACAGTTCCGTCAATTCCCAAATAGGCATGCTCTATTCCAGAAAAACAATGAAATCCTCATTTTCATTTCTCAATCATGCTCATTTCCAGAAAATCAATAAAATCCTCATTTTCATTCCAATCATGCTCAATTTCAGAAAAACAAGGAAATTTTCATAAAAACCATCATAATTTCCATTTCAGTTTAATCACATTCAAATGCTGATAAAATCAATTTAAAATCAATTTAAACCTTGCCACCATCTCAAAAACAATTGAAAACATGCTTTAAAATCGAAGGGCTTTACCATAATTTACTTACCTCACTCGCACAAAACCGAGCACTCAATCTCAATGCTAATTGACAGGACGATCAGAACCTAATCAAAACACCTCAGAATTAATACCGGACTATCACAAATTCAAACTGAAATCATCATTAAAATCACTCCTAATCCCGATGCTATTCCTATCAATCTCCACATAACTGGACATCTC